TCACAAATACAAAACCTTTCAAATTTCTGGTTCAGGACGTTGGAATTGAGGCGGAGTTAACTCGGGTTGTTCTTCCTACTCCCTGCGCGCTCCCGACGAGGGGATAATTATTTCGCAGGTAGAACTACCTGTGCACCACACCTGTCCGGCTCAGGAAGAGACAGGGCGCACCGTCTGCTGCAGTAACCGGGCTTTGTCCGTCTGTATCTGATTATTTAAGGCTAATATTGTCAGATGGTTGAGGAATGAGGCAGCAATTGGATCACAGAACAGTGTACAAGATCACAGATATTTCATAAGTTTAGTTAGGAACCAGTGATAGCAGTTTGTTTATTTTCACTAACGCTCTGCGGCGCTCTCTTCCTTTCAGCTCCACCAACTTCCTCCTAGAAGTCGTTGAAGGTAACCTAACTAACTTTGAGCTGAATATCCCCTCTGACTATAACGGAGATCTAAAAACGATTGTTTACATTCAGTTTAAGTTAAAGTTCGTTTTTTGTCCTTTGAACTTTAAGTTTAACTCGCTGAGCTTCAGACAATGGCTGCTGCTCTAACCGTCCTCCTCATCAGGATTCTGCTGATATTCAACTCCTTCCTGGTTATTTTTGCCGGTAGGTAAAAACTTTGACAATTAGTTTGACAGACAGCTGACCAGGGGAGGATCTAAGATTCTTGGAGATCAGGGGCTTAGCCCTGAGGGTGAAGATGAGAGAGACTTTCAGTTCTAATGTAAAATATGACAGATTACTGGATTAAGGAAATTTTTAGTATGCTATACTATATGCTTTCACACATAAGAATTCCCCCTCCATAACATTGGAAGAATTTAATTCACCTGCAAGTCTTTAATTGTGTTTATTCTTCTCTTCATCAACAACAAATTATTTTTTTGTAGCATTTGATCATTATTTACCAGAGTTATGAGAGGGGGAACCATATATTTTAGCTGACTGAAATAATCCATTCCTCCTCCATAACATCAGATTAAATAAATGTACCTGCAAATCTTTAAATGTATTTATTCCTCTCTTTATCAACAACAAACTCTGTGGATTTGGGGACATTTGATCATTATTTGCTGAAGTTATGAAACTTGATTTTAGCCACCTAAAATAATCTGTTCCTCCCAGCACATGGGAAAAATAAATAAAAAAATCCTGTAAATTTCAAAACTTTCATTATTTTTCTATATATAATGTTTGAAACATTTATTTTATATTTTGAAATCCAAAATAATTAAAATAAATATGAAAGTTAGTTTGATGATCTTTATGAAATGTATTTTCAATTCTCAATTTCAAATGTCTGCTGTAGCATTGCTCCACACATTTTGGATTGAGAAATCTTTGTTAATGGAAAACAAAATATCTTCAAACTTGGAAACCAAATTCCAGTGGTTTTTGAATTAATTAATTTTGGGGGAATATTTTTAAAGTGTTAGATAAAGATTTAAACAGAAAATACATTTCATAGAGATCATCAAAGTGGGAACGGATTATATCAGGTGGCTAAAATATATGATTCCCCTCTCATAACTCTGGCAAATAATGATCAAATGTCCTCAAATCCACAGAGTTTGTTGTTGATGAAGAGAGAAATAAACACAGTTAAAGACTTGGAGGTAAATTTATTTAATCCCATGTTATGGAGGAGAAACAGATTATTTCAGGCAGCTGGAAATATCCATTCTCTCCTCTTCTCCTCCCATATCTTTTGGAAATAAAGAGCAACTGTTTCCAAATTCTCAAAAATTTATATGTGTGACAGCATGTAGTATACTAGTAATGTCCTTAATCCAATAATCTGTCATACATATACATTATAACTGGATTTACCATAAAGTCTACTCTCTCATCTTTGCAGGAACTCTTCATTTTTGTGTCCTGCTATCAGCCAGTTTGCATCCTTTGATATCAGTAATAAAAAAAGATTAAAAACTGACTACTTGCTGGAAAACTGTGTTTGGTGACTGACTTGTATTTCTGTCAGGCTGAAGGGACAGAAGTTGGAAAAGATAGATTCTCTTGGCGTTTAAAATAACAACAAAAAACAGCTTAAAAGGACCTTGTCTATTTATTTATTTTACAATTTTGTAAACAACAGCTGCTGATTAAACTGGATGTTACAACCTTATGATTATAGGAGTTGTTTTTAGGCAGAAATCGATCAGCAGCGAAGTGAAAATGGTCCCATCCTCCACGTCCGCCTCTCTGGCTTCAATGCACCTCCCGACACAAGGGGAACAGAATTTCATTCAACACCGGGACAAAGAACATCAGTCTGTTTTCTGCAGCGAACTGTACTTGACAGCTAGTGGTGACAACTACTTCTTCTGCACGGGAATGCTAGAGGCTGCTTTCCCGCACATGCTGCCACCATCTGGTGAATTGCAGTACTGCAAATTTTACTCAGATCAGCTCAGAGGCGAGATCCGGGCCTCTGGGGGAGACATCCGGGGCTGTAGCCCAAGTAGCCACCCCCTAGATCCTCCACTGCAGCTGACATTGATTTGATAAGCTGTAATATGATTTAATTAATTGTTTGTTATTTTGTATTACTTCATATCTTTGTTGAAATTGAAAATCTGTCCGATATTTTTAGATGCGATCCAAAATGAATGTGATCATACATAACAGGGAAATTTAGGGAACATTTTAAGAGTCAATTTGAAATAAATATAAATTTAGATAATCTGAGTCCTAACTGAGAACAGGATGACAAAACAAATATGAGATCTAAATGGTCCCACATGGCTGAAACCTTCCCTTGAGCTTGCTTCATATTCATTGATACATTTAATAATGATCTGCAAAAGATTCTAGATTCTTTTTGCAGATCCCGCTGACAAATGAACTTATACAAACACGTCAGTTCATCCGTTAGTTATGTGTTGATCAGGTGTTTTTTAATTTAACATTATCGATTTCACATTAGAGAAATGTACTTTCTTCTGCATTTAACCCATCCCCTTGGGGAGCAGTGGGCTGCCATTGTGCGGCGCCCAGGGAGCAGTGTGGGGTTAAGGGTCTTGGCTCAGGGACCCACAGTGATGGGACTAACGGCGTTGAAAGTAACGGCGTTACTAACTCCGTTACCTTGTTTTAGTAACGAGTAATCTAACCAATTACTTTGACTGTAACTATAACGCAGTTACCATTGCAGACACCCCGTTACTGCGCGTTACTCAGGTCGCACAATGAACCTTTTTTCATGATAGGACTCGTGCGCAGCTGCGTGAAGCTGACACCCCACCCACGTCAAAAAACTCTGCAAATAGACTAAGTGGTTAGTGCAACGTTAGTGCAGATTTGTGCAGAAAAAAATATTGTTTGTGCTACTTTTGTTTAAGAGATATTAAAGATTAATTTTTAGGTCATCCAGAGGTGCGCGCCTTGTCATGAGAGAGGGGAGGATGAGAATGGCTGATGTATAGTGAGATTCCGTCTGTCAGTTGGGTAGGTGGGTGTTTCCGCTGGCGGGTGTTAAGGTACAGCACACACAGAAAGATGGAGAGAGGAGGATCCAGCAGCAAAACAGCGTTTTCCACATGGAAATACCGGTGTTAAGTCGAGCTGCGTTTCCCCATCACATAACGGTTTCCTCTGCATCTCCGCACAGCGCAGGCGGCACGAGTCACCGCGCAAGCGACAGGAAACGCGCATGCTCGCTAAAGGCGCGCAACAGTTGCCCTGTGCTCGCGCCACAGGAGAACTATGGAGAGCGTGAACGATCAAATGAAAGGGAGAAAGATGGATGGATGGATGGATGGATGGATGGATGGATGGATGGATGATGGATGGATGGATGGATGGATGGATGGATGGATGGATGGATGGATGGATGATGGATGGATGGATGGATGGATGGATGATGGATGGATGGATGGATGGATGGATGGATGGATGGATGGATGGATGGATGGATGGATGGATGGATGGATGGATGGATGGATACTCTGCCTTTTCAACCTACTGTATTTTTTATTTTAAACATTATTTGATGGCCTTTGTGGCAGAGATGGAGATCCATATTTTATGAGATAGATAGATAGATAGATAGATAGATAGATAGATAGATAGATAGATAGATAGATAGATAGATAGATAGATAGATAGATGTTGCAGTATCTATAACAACCCAAACACACAGGATTTCAGAATTAGACATCCCCAGTTATTAATTTCACCAGATCTGAATGCCCTGTTAAAAAACTTCACATGGCGTTCCCCCTGATGTCATTTACGTTGAGTTACAATAAATGCAAAACTCTCTGCAGGTTCTTGTCTTTGTCGTTCTCTCTATTCAGCTGGCTTTGGAAACGCACGGCGAGAAGGTGGGGGCTGGGTGGTGAGGTTTACGGGGGCGAGAAACGCAAAAGTAACGCAATAGTTACTTTTACTAGTAACTAGTTACTTTTATTGTGGAGTAACTCGGTTAGTAACTCAGTTACTTTTTGGGAGAAGTAACTAGTAACTATAACTAATTACTTTTTCAAAGTAACGTGCCCAACACTGGGGACCCAGAGTGGCAGGCTGTGTGAGTGGGGCTCAAACTCAGAACCCAGGGATGCCATGCTGTATTCTCTAACCACTAGGCCACCACTTTTTTGAAACAATTCATTCACCAACACATGGCTTTGCTCTATGAGCTTGACTCAAGCGCCCTGTGGTACTGGACAAATAACTGTATGTGTGTGTGTGTGTGTGTGTGTGTGTTGTAACAGATGGTATAGGTATGGTATCAGTATCAGCCAATACTGCACAGCCAGGTATCATTATCAGGGCCAAAGAATGGCATCGGTGCAACACTAATTCATATGACTGTATTCATGCAACATGTTATTAGTAGTATATTAAGATTAAACAGCAAAACAATAAAGTAATAGTGATTAATGGAGTCTGTAAGGACAGTGAAAATACGAATAATACTGTTTATATGGATCAGTCTTCATGATTTAAAACGAGAAATTATTCACAATTATGAAGTCTTTTTTTTTTTTTTACACAGCCCTGCTGCTTTAATGCCTGAACAGCAATGTGTCCTTTCTGGATATTTCTCTCTGTTTTCTCCTTGAATCATTCCAAACTGTTGAAGTTGATTCAAACACCAAGATGTTCCTGAACTCCAGAGATCAGCTGCTGATCTGTGGCAGAAAGGCTGTTTGTTAAAAATGACCAGTAGAGACCAACAATGAGCCCAACAGAACCATAGCGGCTGTGTATCCGTTCCTCTGCTGTCCATCAGAACCGCCTGTAGAACAGAACCAGGAGTTAGTCTGATCCGGATGACTGAAGGACATCCTCTACTGATGTCTGACCAGCTGATTCTACACAATCCATTCAACAGCATCTGATCTCAGATGTTTCTATCTACCATCTGGAACCAGCTGGAGGTTTTGATCCAGAGACAAATGGACTCACCTCTAGCAGAAACATTCAGGGTGATGCTGCAGATCTGTTTCCTCTCAATGCTTCCAGCGACCTGAGAGTGACACTCATATGTTCCTCTGTCACTAAAATTCACTTTCTCCAGAACCAAAGACACGTCTCTATTTCTCATCAATCTGTCCTGCAGATGCACTCGGTTCTGATATGATGGATTCTGGTTTTCATCATCATAGTGCTCGTCTCTGTAGCGGAGAACATAACCTGACAAATCTTTTCTTTTCCACTCCACAGCTACAATGTTCCCCGTCTGTGGATCTCTGCATGTCAGAACCCTCTGATGTCCAGGTGTGGCTGAGATGTTCCTCTGATCTGTAGGAGAGGAAACAGCAGAACTTCATCTTTGGGTCGTAGACAACACCGCAGAACCAGAAGCACTCGGCCCTTTAAGAAGTCCTTTAGTTTGAGCTTTAATGCCTTGCCAAAGGGCATGTTGACACGCAACAAGGAGAAGCTGGAACTGAACCAGCTCTCAGATATGGGAGGAAAACTCTTCCCGCTGATCCAGTTTCCTCTCTGCCTTCAAAGCTCTGAGAGGCAGAAGTGATGTGGTCATAATCAGAGGATGCCATCAGAACCGGAGGAGAACCCTAGAACCACGATAACAGGACCATCTGGAGGAGTTCCTCTATTAGACGGCCTGAAGGACCAATGGGGATAAAAAGTTAGTTCCAGCAAAGACAAATCAGCCATTTAATGAGTCGGTCAGTTAATCCGTTTATAAAAAGTCAAAGGTCCAAATCCCCAGAATGAAAGCTCACTGTGGTTCTTGGTAACACCTGAAATCTCCCAGTTTGCACCCAGTATTTGATCCTAATGTACTGGGCCTGATACTAAAGCAGAACAAAGAACAGGCTGGGTCTCTACTGAAGATCACTGACTTCAGGATGAAACCTTCTTAGTTCTATCAGCCCTAAAGCAAGGCATTAAGAGGTTGGTTTGAATCCAAGTCCAAGCTTCAAGAGTCAAATAAATTCTAACGCAGCAGACTGATCCTCAATATTAATTTGTTTTGATAAAATAAATGTTTTAATCTAATTAAAATTTGGGTTCACTCCATCAATAGACTCAGAGTCTCTGTCTAAATGAGGTCTGTGTCCTGTCTGCTCATTGGTCCTCCACCGTTACACAAACTGATCTCTAATCAGCCTGTTTAGCTGCTGTCTGAGGCATCAACTCGGTTCAAGACTGATGAAATAAAATAAATGTTTTGTTTATCCACAAACATTCTGTTCAGTCAAACACTATAATAACCGTACTGCTGATCCATTTGGTCTGAGTTAGAGTTTGATTTAGGAATTAATTTTTATCCTATTTCTTTAAAGCAGCTGACTGACCAACTGATCCGCTCTGGTTTCCTCCATTGTTGGTTCCTTCTTCTCTCCTCGTTCCTTCATCTGCAGCTGCAGAGGAGAACCAGGTGAGGATCTGAGATGACAGTTGGTGAAGAACACAACAGAATAAATCACTTCATCCAGTCTGAAAGAACTCCTCTCTCACCTGATCCAACACTCAGGTTAATGGTTCTGATGGGCTCCGTATTGAAGGCGTCCCTCTTCCAGGTTTTTTGGTCTCCTCTCTGGATCACGCTGCACTCGTATGTCCCACTGTCTTCAGTCCGGACGTCCTTAAGAATCAAAGATGCGTCTCCATCCTTCATCCTTCTATCCTGGAGGTCCACACGGTTCTTAAAGGATGGATGTTGGTTTTCTGGATAGGAGTAGTCCTCATTGTAAAGTAGAACATGCTCTGGTTCTAGATCAGGTCTGCTCCACTCTACAGCTGTGACGGGGCTGTTGCTGTCAGGAGCTCTACACGGCAGAATGACGGTCTGTCCAGGTTCTGCTTGAATGTGGATCTGATCTGCAGGAGGAACAACAGTGGGGAAAGGTCAGAGGTCAAAGACAATATCTACAGAGAAGAATCAGAGAGACCAGACAGCAGTTCTTCTAAAGCTCAGACCAAGGCTGTGACCGAAGGTTTAGAATTTCTACAAATATATATTTTTTTAAATCTTCACCAGAAAATTCAAAAATAATTGGAATAAAGGTTAACTAATCTACCAAATGGCCTTCTGGTTATTATACTAATAATACACATTATCTAAACATAATAAAGTTTTTACATTCACAACTCTCCATTCTTTTAAATTAATTTTAGAAAACAGTAAGTGTGATAAATCTTCGAGCATTACTTCTCATATTTTTACATAACAACCCTTTAAAGAACTAATTATTGGCAATATAAGTGATAAATAATATCTGACTTAAAGTCACCTGGAAAAGTAAAAACTTGTTTATCCCATTTTTATTTCTGCCTCACAGAGTGAATTTTACTAAACTCAACATATATAGATGTCCATTGAACTATTGGAGGAATAGAATCCATTTTTGATTCTAAAAATCACAGCAAACGGAGATGGAAAAAGCTGAACAGTCAGTCCCATTTGTAGCTACAGTGATGTAATAAGTCATTAAAGGAGTCATATGGAAATATTTGAGCTTACACATATGTGGGGAGTGGTTTGGCATTGCACTTGGAATCCAGAGTTTCTGAGTTCAAGCCCCACTCCCACAGACTGCCACCCTGGGTCCCTGAGTAAGACAATTAACTCTACATTGTTGGGGTTCATTGTTGTTTTTATTTGATTTATCTTCAAACTCTTAATGCTTTTGAATAGCAAATATAAATAATTTTGTCAACCATGGACTTGTTCACTGGTGAGACATCAGGTGTGTTCTCAGTGAAAAAAAAAATGAAGGCAAATGTTTGTTCCTTTAAAGCAGTGGTTCTCAAACTTTTTCTGTCATTCCCCACTTTGGACAAGGGGGAATTTTCAAGCCCCACCTGTCCCCATCGCCCCAACACAATGGTAATGAAATATGCAACAATCTTAAAATGTTCCAATTTTATTGAACAAGTAGTATCTAAATACAAACTATCTACATCAAAAGCCAGCAAGCTCAAAAATAAAGAAAATAAAAATGCAGCTGTGTCAAAATTTGTATCAAGCTCAAAGATAGAAAAAATTAAAGTTCCACTCTGCAATCTGTTAATAAAAGAAAAGAAGTGAAATCCATCTGGCAAGACAGGTCTATTTATCCCTGCATCAGTGGCTGCAATGAGCCTGTTTTGCATTGCACAGTTTCTCAAAACGGGGTTGCAGGCTTGATACTGCCACTCTCAAGTCATGCTCAATGTTCAGCTGAGATCTGTATTTTGTTTTCAGTGAAGCAACAGCTGAAAAGCCCATCTCACAGAGACATGATGTGGCAAAGGGAAGAAGAATGCACACAGCTCTCTGCCCGATGAGTGGATACTCCCTCTCCACTCCTAACCAGAATTCACTATGAGTCTGAGCATTAAACCTGAGCCTCAGGGTGGAGTCAGACGTCATTTCAATAAACTGGTCCTATTTATTTAAGATAAAATATTTCAAATTCAGTTAATTATGATCAACCTGCGCCGTCAATCCCGGCGCATGTGCGCTTTATTTGCAGTCTGGACGCTGTGGTGTGTCTGACTGCAGCTCTGAGAGGGACTCCTGCGATAGCGGGGGAGAATGGGGTTGGGAGGGAGAAGGCGCCCCACGGCAGCACCTGCCGCTGGAGGACAAGAAAAGGAACGATACGTGCTTTCACGTAAGAGTCTCCAAAAGTCGCTAGATTTGTCGCTAGTCGCTTTTTTGAAAAAGAGTCGCTGGAGGGGTCTGAAATATAGCGACAAAGTCGGCAACACTGGGGCGCGAAAGTTTATTCCGTTACAAATAATATGCCGACGTCACGTCAATCATTATTTTGGCACTTCAGTTCCAGGTGAAATTTTTCTCATATCTAATGTTCTTTTAATTAGACTGTATGTAGGCTAGTAAGGATTACTTTGTGGGTTTGATTGGTCTAAAAAGCGGCAACATACAGCTATAAGGACAGTTTGCTCTCACACGTTCTACATTTATAGTCACACGACACACACACACACACCGGAACTTGGCGCGCCCCACCTGTCACGTCTCAATTCCCCACCAGTGGGTCGCGCCACACACTTTGAGAACCGCGGCTTTAAAGCAATAGTTCAAAAACAGCTCTCCTCAAAAAACCAAAAGCCATGGTGTTGCAAACATTCATAGGATTTCACGGTCATCATGACTAATAACATTATATTTAGTCTGAGATGGTGGGATCCAGCTGTGTTCTGATCACTGATGTGTAGAATACACATCTAATGTGACATGCGTCTGAGGGAGTTACATTTGGGTTATTATTGTTTTATGTTATTTTCTTATGAAATTGCAAAGTCCTGAAATGGCCTTAATACAATTTGTCAAGGTCCAACAAGATGGGACCAAAACCAGGACCAAGGCTTAATCATCAAAACCAAAGTCTTTACAACTTGCAATCCTTAAAGCTTGACCTTAGTTATGTCTTTATATATTTCTGAGAATTATTGTGCATATTTTCATATTTAAATCTATATAATATAAAATACAGTTTATCAGAAAATTATGAGGATATTAATTTTAATTGGGATACTTTTCTAATGCAGTTTCTTTGGATCATCAGGATCAGACTCACTATTCAGCACCATGGACAGCTCCTCCCCAGAGATCAGACCGGCTTTAAGGCAGCTGGAGTCCGTTTCACAAAGCAGGTTCACTAAAAAGTCATAAGTATCTAAACCTGAAATATGGGAGACTGAGTTTTTTGTTTCACAAAGAGAGTTTACTCAACCTCTGTTTCTGTTGCCATAGTAACATTTTCCCCATAGCTAACCTGGTCAGTAGCAGGTTTTGTTCAGTAATCTCTGAGACAGAGTATCCTCTGTCTAAGTTCTCCTTACAGCCAATCACATTGTTTTATTTCTAGATTAAGTATTGCTTTTGTCATAGTTTTGTGCATAATAAAAAAAAAACATCTCACTAGATCCATTATACACATTAGGTTTAAAAAACATTGCATATCCGTTTGACAAGAATCTTATTAAAGAATTATTGGTATTTTTTTCACAGAGAATTTTATATTTATAAGGAGATGAATATACAGCTCAGTTGACAGGATATGAGATTTAATTGTTCTTTGGTTAGTTATTTTGAGCAACATGCAGATCATTTTATAATTATGTATTTATTTTTAATTTACATGTAGAACAGCTTCAATTATTTCAAATTACACATACATAGATTAATAAATGCTGTGGGGTGGAAAAGGAATCACTTAGTGATAACAACCTACTGAGTCTACTGGCACAATCATAAGCCACACTATGGGACTGATAACCACTAATAATGGCCATTTATTGGGATGATAACACCCGAAGCGGCTGCAGCCACTTAGCATTTACTGTATAATGGGAGACAGAATCAAACTGAGAAGCCATGACATGATGAACTGCTCATATCTATCAGAATAATGTTTTTAGACTTTATTTCACTTAAAAAGATACATTGACACACTACCATTCAAGAAAAAAAATTGTAATGTTATCGTGGACAAAACAGGATATGGCAAGCCGTTTTGATATGTATTAGTATTACTAAATATGTATTCCAGATATCTAAAACCTTTTTCCTTCTAAATCATATTGTTACTGGTCTTCATTTGTATTATTTTGACTATGAATAAATATTTTTTAAGATATCATAAATATACTTGAGTTAAGCTGATAAATGTCAAAACGGCCACCTAAAATGTGTAAAGTTTATAGATATTTAAAACTTAATTCTTACTAATAATTTTTTATTTTTTATTTTTTTACTTTCTGAAACTAATTTTCTGCCACAAAAATATAATTTAGAATATATATTATTACACTTCAGCCTAGGAGTGTGATTTTGTATTGTGATTACTGTAGGAGTGTGATTTTTTTCATCTTAGTGATTTTCAAATGGAATAAGAGAGAGGAGTGCTTTTAATGAATATAAAATTGCCAACTTTAGAATTCCCGACCTTAGGTTAGATCAATTTAATTGCAGATTTGAATCTGAGTTTGTTAAACCTGCTTCGTGATTCGGACCCCTGTTGCTCACTGTGGGACGTTAGTCTCTACACTGAGGCTGACTTTAATGAAATATTCTGTTCCATATAAATTGTTCCTCATAGAAATGAAATCAGGACATCAGCAGCTGTTGCAAAGCATCCAGACTGTATTCACAGCTCTGCACTTTTTCCACATCAAAGCCTATTTCGACATTGTTTGACTTAATTTTTTTTCTAACTTGTAAACACAAAAGCCATATTGTATAGAAGCTTAACAATCTTTTTCAATAAATCTATAGCATCACATTTCTATAACTTTTCAAGGTGTTGTTATGATCATCTTGTTTAGTCTTGGATGCTGCTATTTAGATTAAAACCAATCTTATTATCTGCTGGATAACTGTTTGGTTTCTTGTTCTAAAAGCTGGTCTGATCTTTGCAAGAATAAAAAGAGGAGTAACAGGATGGCTTCATTGGTCATTTCTCAATGGAATACCATTTTCTGTTAAACAGTGTTAGTTTTACAGAAATAAAAAAAATGTAAAGTACACAAAAAAAAACTTTGTTATACATTTGGAGGGGTCCAGAATATATGAATATTTACTTACAATGCTAACATCAACACAAAAGGATTCTGCACCAACAGGAATATTAAAGTCACAGAGATCAAGTGTTACCAGATACGCACTCCTACCTAGTAGAGCTGAATAATGATGTCTTCAAAAAGAAACAAAACAAGGGTGAAAAGTGCTCATGTTTCTGCTTTTTGTCTTTTTTATGGCGGTTGGCAAAATAATTAAAGTGCATTACCGCCACCAATTGATAAGGAGTTAAACAAGGAAACAGGAAACAAGAGTCACGCCCAGAATAAAAATGCATACAAATAAATAAATAAATTCAAATTTTCTGAACTATTCAATTTAACTCAAAGTAATAAATAACAAATACTTATGCTACGTTCACACTGCAAGCAGCAAGAACAGCAAAAACTTGCCATTTGACAGCAGCCAATGCCTGGTCGTCTCTGCTCCTCGATGTGCGTCAACCATGGACATTGCATGTAAACTAGCTGCTCCTGCTGCCTTTGCTGCTTTAGGTCTAAACGTAGAATAATCATATTTTTCCTCATTATTTCTAATTTATCTTTAATTTATCATCACTCTGCCAGTTTCTAATGGTCCTACTGGTTTTCCCGTCATACTTTCAATCATTTCCCAGTTTAAATCTCTCACTTCAAGGGACTTTTATGTAGTTTGACTATTATTTAGATTTTTTTTCTTGTTGTCGTCTGAGCAATACAATTGTTCACTTCCACCATGAAAAGTACAAAATCCTTCTGTTTAACAATTAATGAGTCTTCTGCAATTGTGGGACACTCTTCCAAAGGTTTAGCACTTGTCATCAGTGTTGCCAGATTGGGCAGTTTTCATTTTGATTTCTCAGATAAAAATTACTTTGGGCGGGTGGAGATAATTTGGGCTCGTTAGGAGTTAGATCGGTGGTTTTAGAGTTAACCTATTAAAACACACGTCCACCAATCATTCATCATTACTGGTTCATAGCAAAGCCTCCCTGACATTTCTCCATCACTGATTGGCTAATGTCATCTGCCAGGGTGTTTACAACAGAGAACTAGTGTAGTGACGCCACAAATTCTGCTAGTTTTAGCAGCAGGTGGACAATCTAATAAGCATTAAAGATAAGAATTCAAAATCAACCATAATAAATGTAATTATTTCAGTTATGTAAAAATAAGCTTAGCATATCTGTGTGTTCTCACTGATCGTAGTTTGTCTTCTATACGTAAAAAGAGGATTAGCATGTTAGTACCGGTATGTGATGTGTCACGTGTCCCTCACTAGATCTAACATCGTTCTCGTTATAAAATATGAATCTAATGATTTCTTTGCTATTTCACACAAACTAACTTTTTTAGATTAATCAAGATTCATCTCACATCCAGGATTATTTACTTTCTTAAAACTTTAAGCACTAAATGAAAACTGTAGTGATGTAAACCCTGAAGCAAAGCAAGCATGAAGCTGGTAGAGAAACTGACCTGCAGAAACCAGGAGGTTGACACACAGCAGAAGCCAGCAGAGAGAAGAAGATGTAACACCAGACATTATCTGGACTAAACTACAACATTGAAGCTTTTAGTTTTGAGTTGAAGGAAAATAAACTAGACAAAGTAAAAAATGACATCAATGTGGAGCCGTTGTCTTGTTGTCCTTCAGTCCAAATGTTGGATTTTTATCAGAGGTTGTGATCAGACCAGGGATTGGAGATCAATGCTGTTAATGATCTGTAGCAGAACACAAATCCGCCAGTCATCAATCATCAACCAGGTTTAAACCTCTGCCTGGGATACAGAGACCCTGGATTTAGTACTTTAATACTAACATTATTACAAGGAGAGCTGTTCTAATCTGAAATATCTATTTATTTTTTTTACTTTTATTTAACTTTAATCCTTCGTAAACTTTTCTAGAGTTTCACATTGGATCAATTTTCAGCACAATTATTGGATCTGATTCCAATAAAAGATTTAAAAGTCAGTATGCTCTCCCTCTATGTGTGTGTGTTCTCTCTGGGTACTCAAGCTTCCTCCAAAAGTCTGACTTCATTTATGTTTGCGGTAATGGCCCTCTATGTGGAGTCTGTGTGAGAATGTGATGGACCAGTCAGCAGTTGAGTGTGAGCCACTAATAAGTAAGTGAATGCATAAAACCCGTCAACATCAATACATTGATTTATTTCATTAGTAGAAAATGAAATATTCAGAGCAAAAAAATAAATAAATGTCCTATTAATAATGAAAAGATCGGAGTACCACAGACCCTCCATCTAAAGATCTGGGGGGGAAAAGCATCAAATCTAAGCAAAGTCAGCTCATGTTTGTTTTTCTAACTATTCAGGCTAAAGGTTTATTTGTGTCAGAGAAACTTTGGCACAGACCCTGCATTTCCAGCCAGGATGGTGTTACTTTTAAAAGCATTATTTGGTTTCATTTTGGAAACCTGGTGCAGACAGGAAACTTCTGTAGGAACACAATAAAAACAAAGGTTTTAGTTTAACACCTACAGAGTTACATTTAACTATGATTCAAAGAACATTTGGTCCCACTCCAAATTAGCTTTACATTTACTCTATAGTCAGTGTTAATATTTAAGAGTTAATTTTAATCATTTTACTTTCAAAATCAGTAAGACCTCTTAGAAAAAGCTGGGTAATCAACTCCATATAGAGTAAAAGTTACACTGCATGGTTGTTATATTTTTCACTAACTATTAACTCCAACACTTGAGCAGATTTACATTCAGTATAGTTCTATTTTTATGTGTCATATTTTGCCAATATAGCTCTGGGAATATATGTCCCAGAGCCAGACGATAGCCCAACAGCTTTGCTTTCACAAGCAGACCAGTATGGTTGTTGATATAAGGTTCCATTTATACTTGCATATGAAACTCTATTGAATATTATACAACAGAGGCAGAGACGGAAAGGGATGTTAGAAAGTAAGAGAAAATAGGAACTAAGGGGAGAGAGAGAGACAGAGAGACATAGAAAGAAAAGAAAGCATGAAGTGAGAGAAAATAAAACAAAACAGCAAAAATGTAAAACAGAAATTATAAAGTTACTTCTGTCTTCTGTATGAGACGAGAGGAACAGAAAGGTCATCATTTTCCTGCAGCATTCTGTGGAATGTTGGTTCCAGGATATTCTGGAATTCTTTATATAATTCTACAGGAAATCCATCAGAACCTGGAACCTTTTCATTGGGAATGTCTTTGAGAGCTTGCTGGGATTCAAATGTTGTTAGTGGTTAATTAAGAGGCCTTCACCTTTTAAGTTTTTCTTTGTCTAAAAATTGATCAATGTCACTCTCTGAAGGATTTATTGCTGATAAATATATAGCTTTATAAAAGTCTTTGAAACAGCTCTTTATATTATCCGGATCATATACAGTTTTCCCTGTTATGTCTATGTTTTTTTTTTTTTTTTTAAGCTGGTTAACTAAAAAGCCTCCTGATTTACTGCTGAGATTAAAGTTTTCAATGCAAAGTCTTTCTTTTAAGAATTTACTTTGTCTTGTTGTTTTTTTTTTTGTCAAGAATATTATTTAATTCTACTTTTACTCTATAGATTTTACTTATCCCTTCTTCTTCTCCCAGGGATGCTCCTAACACTTTATTTCTTCTAGTTCCTGAATCTTTTCATTTTCTATTTTCCTCTTAAGTGATGAGAATTAGATTATTTTATCTCATCACTGCCTTTCCAGCCTCCCAGAGCAACGATTCTGATGATGACATGTGAGTTTTGACTACAATACCTTTATTTTGTTAAACGGGGTTGAATTTCATAGATCTTGTTAAATAATGTAACCCGCACCATAGAAAAGCCCAGCATCGAATATCTGGGTATTTCAACTGTCTAAAAAATTATCATGACCTATTTTCTGACGCATGAAATGTAATTTCTGTCTATTTTATATACCTCTATCCCTGGCCAAAAAGTGATAAATACATGGAATGTGATTTCTGCCCAAAATGGCTTCATTTTACTCAGAAATAATATTTGGTAGTTATTGAAGAACAGAATCCTCTAAATACCGAACAAATGCCAAGCATTGGAAACAGGGGAGTATATCTGAGTATATCACATGAAGTAAATTGATAATTTTCTGTCTAAAATAACTTAATTTCAACATCAGGAGGTGTATCCAAATGTTATCTTTCAAAAATATGCTTGTAACTTAAACATTTAAACGTGATCATGTATAACATTCTTGACAAATATTACTGATGTCTCCTTTTTACTGTACAACTGCCTTCAAAATAAGTCTTTTTTTTAATTCTATTTTTTCTTTATGTTTTTTTTAATACTTTTTTAAATAAAAATAATAAAAAAATAAAATAAATTAGAAAAAATAAGTCACTTTGTAATATTAATATTGTTTATTTTAATATAGTTACAGTTGTATGAGGTGATAACATCACATTTAGATATAAGGTGATTAATATGATCTATTCTACCAGTTCCATGTAAATCTGATAATGGACCAGTCTAGTCAGAGTTGTTCAGAGGTTTATGTTCAATGAGTGTCATTAAACATGTGAAAATCAGAACGCATTGCTGATGAAATGAAGCAGGATTATTCATGCAGAAGGACTTGATTAAAAGCCAGAAGTGAAAAAATATGTTTCCATATATAACAGTGTGGAACATCCTACTACTGGGAAAAGTTTAGCAGAATTCATGTTTAACTGGAAAATAAGAGAAAGTTACCAGACATTTAAAAGTTAAACATAACAGAGAGGCTTGATACAGTACGGAGCCCGGGAGAGCTCACTTTAAGTGATATTTATTTTCAGGTAGTGATAATTTGTGAGCACGTTTCCTTTAATTGAGCCCTCGAATTAATAAAACGTGAGCACGTTTTATTTTAATTGAGTCCTCGAATTAATAAAACGTGAGCACGTTTTATTTTAATTGAGCCCTCGAATTGATAAAACGTGAACACGTTTTCATTTAATTGAGCACTCGAATTAATAAAACGTGAGCACATTTTCTTTTAATTGAGTCCTAAATCTCGCTCACATTTAGTCATTTCCGACATGCTCTCACCGCTGCTCTCACTGCTGCTGCCTGTCGCAACTTCTGTTACTCAAGCTGTTGAGATTCGGCTATTGTCTGCAACATTACAGTTCAACATTGGTAAGTGATACCGTGGTTAATTAAAGCCTTTTTAGTTTTCATCGGTAGGTGATGACGATAGCGAACTTTTACTCTTTGTAGCAGGGTCACCTGTGGTGTCCCGCCAGCTATGGAGCCGACTGCTGATAGCCTGAGGGACTTCTTGAAAGATAGAGGTGTCAGCGAAGAGTTTATTCAGAAACTCGAAAACGAAAAGGTAGGCTGTGATGTGGGCTGCAAGAATATGTTTAACTTCATTAATGTTATTTGTATTCGAGTAACAGGTGGTCTGACTGACTGGGTTAGAAATAGGCTAACCCTGCTAATGTGTTTTGTTGATGTCATGTCGTTTGCAGTGTTAACGTAGATCAATGCAACATGTTTATGCCATTACAGTAGCCTATGATAGCCTATTTTAGTGCATGAACCTCATCCAAAGCCATGCAGAGAGGGGGATGCACTGAGCTATATTATACATTGGAGTGCTAATCGCCAGCTGTTAGAACGAGTTGCTTTGAAGCCACCAGCTGCCCTATTGGTACTCCATATTTCCCCCCAGTAACTAGGGAATATGTGCGCTACAGCATCGAATAACGAGGATTTTCTCATGTTCAGGGGGGGTGTTGTGCGAAAAAGTGAATGTCTGCGAGAATCTGATTACGCTCGCGGGAGCGCGCACCGCAGCCCACTGAGCGATAGCGTAAACCTCCTTTTCTCTGGATTAAACGGTCCTGACATGCAGATACACACAGTTGCATTATAATATAGGCCTAATTAAATTATAATATAGGCCTAATTAAAGATTCGAAAGCTTAACGTTTGTCACATAACGGCAGTTACGTGATAGACATGTTTCTATACTCGGTCTGATGACTTTGTGTAGCCCTGACATTGGAGACTACACTACAATAAATATGATTTACTGGAGGGTTTTCAATAAAGATATGATAACTTTTGCAACGATCCTCGTGACTCTGCATTATGTTTTTTTATCTGATCTGGCCGTATATAGCACGAGTTTCCCATGTTTCTATGTGTTTTTGCAGTTTTCAATCGGTTTTCACCTGTCAAAAATTGATTGAAGGCACAGTATAGTCACTCAAAGGTTATTTCTACCTAAATATGACTAGATTTCCTTCAGGAGATGCATGATTTAAAGATCTGAGCTCACAAAACAGCTTGGAACTCTTTTAAAGGACCATTACAACACAAAATAGCCATTTTGACTTGCAAAAAATGTATTAAAGCCCAAATACTGTCACTCAAAGGGGATATCTGCCCAAATATGACTTGATTTCATTCAGAAGCATCTTATTTTAAATAGAACAAGTCCTTTTTAGGCAAAAATCACTTTTCTTCAAACACATTTGGCCTTTAATCAATTTCTAGCAGGGCGTTTTGACCTCAGCCGACTTACTAGAAACTGATTAAAGCCCAAATACTCTCATTTAAAGGCCTGCCAGTAGCATGTGTTGCTATTGTCCCTCTGATATGTAAATAGTTATATCTTTGTTTTTCAAATTTTCATGTTTCATGTTCATTCATTTGTCTATATAAATCTCTTTAGATTAAAAGAAATACAATTATTTTGCACCAACACTTATGAATTGACTTTTTTTTCTTGGCATTTCTATGGCAGTAAAGTAGTATTTTTAAGAGATTGAACAACTTCTTGATTTCATGCCATTCCTGGGTAATTTGAAACCCAGCATTTCTTGAAATGAAATCATATAAGAAAAAGCCATTTTGCAAGTCAAAATGGCTTTTTAGTGTGGTAAAGAGTTCCAAGCTATTTTGTGAGCTCAGATCTCTAAATTATGGAGGTTCTGAATGAAATCAAGTCATATTTGGGCAGATATCCCCTTTAAATGAAAGTATTTGGGCTTTAATCAGTTTCTAGCAAGTCGGCTGAGGTCAAAACACCCTGCTAGAAATTGATTAAAGGCCAAATGTGGTTGAAGAAAGGTGATTTTTGCCTAAAAAGGACTTGTTCTATTTAAAATAAGATGCTTCTGAATGAAATCTAGTCATATTTAGGTAGAAATAACCTTTGAGTGACTATACTGTGCCTTCAATCAATTTTTGACAGGTGAAAACCGATTGAAAACTGCAAAAACACATAGAAACATGGGAAACTCGTGCTATATACGGCCAGATCAGATAAAAAAAACACAATGCAGAGTCACGAGGATCGTTGCAAAAGTTATCATATCTTTATTGAAAACCCTCCAGTAAATCATATTTATTGTAGTGTAGTCTCCAATGTCAGGGCTACACAAAGTCATCAGACCGAGTATAAAAACATGTCTATCACGTAACTGCTGTTATGTGACAAACGTTAAGCTTTCGAATCTTTAATTAGGCCTATATTATAATTTAATTAGGCCTATATTATAATGCAACTGTGTGTATCTGCATGTCAGGACCGTTTAAAGGAATAGTACACCCAAAACATGATTAGCCTTCATTTTCTACTCACCCCCATGCTGAACAACACTCTGGAGTACTTATTTGATATCTCAAATGCATCTGGAGATCTGGGAGGCTTCTTGCTGTCTGCTGACATTCAAATAATGGAGGTCCATGGCACCCGAGGCAGAAAGGTCCATAAAAGTCCACAAAAAACGTTTCAATATTCCTCCATACTGCTCGTCCAATGTATTCCAAGTGTCCTGAGTGGGTAGCATCCAGAATTTACTCGAAACGAAGTCATTTAGAATGTTTTTAGAGCATAAACAGTAGTGTATAGGATTTCCTGAAAGCGCGTTCACGACGCTACGGAAGCCGGCAGACCAAACCAGATGAAAGTGCGCATTCAGCGTCTGCTCTTCCAATAATGCAATCGTAGAAGAAGAAATGTGCCGTTTACCTGTGCAAAGAAAGAAACAACGAAAGAAAAATATCTGAGGACTTCAGTGTTGAGGAAGAGCATGAGTTCTTTGCCGAGCTGAATGCGCTGGTTTGGTCTGCCGGCTTCCGTAGCGTCGTGATCGCGCATGTGCGCGCTTTCAGGAAATCCTATACACTACTGTTTATGCTCTAAAAACATTCTAAATGACTTCGTTTCGAGTAAATTCTGGATGCTACCCACTCAGGAAACTTGGAATACATTGGACGAGCAGTGTGGAGGAATATTGAAACGTTTTTTGTGGACTTTTATGGACCTTTCTACCTCGGGCGCCATAGACCTTCATTATTTGAATGTCAGCAGACAGCAAGAAGCCTCCCAGATCTCCAGATGCATTTGAGATATCAAAAAAGTACTTGTTCAGCATGGGGGTGAGTAGAAAATGAAGGCTAATCATGTTTTGGGTGTACTATTCCTTTAATCCAGAGAAAAGCACGTTTTCGCACAACAGGGGCTTAAAACTTTTAAAATGTCAAATGCCATATCCTTTTATGTTATGTTCTAAAACTATCAAGTACTGAGAAATTCATGTGCTGAAATATTTTGATATATATATATATATATATATATATATATATATATATATATATATATATATATATATATATATATATATATATATATATACACACACACACACACTGGGAGCTTAATGCAGGATACATTACAATAACATCACTTATTTAAAAGAAAAACCTTCTACTTAGAGGTACTATAAATAAGTTATTTGCCAAAAAGAGGCAAGAACAAAAAATAATAAATAAATAAATGCATTAATTAATAAGGTATTATTAAGTTATTTAACAAAAACCGGCTGCTGCAGCCACCAAAACGGTGTCAGTAAACCTGGGAGTCGCTCGGGAAGCCTACTGGCAGGACAGCCGGACTGTCATCATGGTGGTCGCTGCCAATATGCTGCCAACGGTGGTGCCCGCTGCCGGCAGATGCTGCCATCGGAGAGGCTGATTGTGGCTGCTCATGGGCGGTTCTAGACAGGGGCCAATGGGAGCCAGTGCCCCTGTAAATCATGTCCTGGCCCCTGTACTGAAGAAATAATGCTTATAAGAAATTCTAATGATGATATGCGCTGGAACAGACTTGGTTACTAATGGGTCCTTTGGATCTATTTCATTTTTTTCCTTTACTAATTATTTAAAAACAGTAAGGTGATAGCTTCAGTCGTATTGAGATAGGATCCCATTTTTCATCTGCTAAATGTTTTTTTTCCAAACAAATAAAAAAAGGTACTAAATCAGATTTAATAGAAAATGGTAATTTTAACTTAAGTAAATAAAATTCCTAAATTATGAATGTATATTGACCTCATAAGAAATACAATTTTTATTGAACCTAATTGAAAAGAAATTTCACTTCATGCAGCTCTCTTAATATATTTAAATCCCTTGCCCTGTTTTTTATTTCATGCTTTTCTGTGCCCCCATGAAAACACGCTGGCCCCCTCCTGGCTCCCTGGTGCATTTGGTCTAGATCCGCCACTGCGGCTGCTGCCGGCAGAGCTTGCCATCGGAGAGGCCGATGGTGGCTGCTGCCGGCAGAGGCGACTTATTGGCAGATAAAGTACTCCGTTCCATCAAGTAAATGTGACATTATATATATATGTGTGTGTGTGTGTGTGTGTGTGTGTGTGTGTGTAGTTTCATGTTTAAAATGACAAGAAATATGAAAAAGCTTATGGTCGGCAAGTTGTAGTTACTCTCATATGACAGCAGATGGCAGTGAAAGCCCAAATTCATGAGATTAAATGTTTGAAGTCAATTTTTAAACGTCTGTCCAACAACTTTTTTTTTTGTTTTTTTTTTGTTTGAATCATCACTGGCCGGTCTAAACATATTAAAGGGATAGTTCGGTATTTTTGACATGAATCTTTATGGCATCCCCATCACCAGTGTCATGCAATCACACTGACTTATCCCTGGCAGCGTCCTGTGAGCAGAGTTCTCGTCCAGTTTTGGTCAAGCCGAAAGTAGTCCGGCAGGTTTGCTAGACCCAGCGAAATAAAACGTTTCTCTTCCCAAAACATTATGTGTTCAAAAGAGTGATATTTTTGCATCCCAAAAACATTGTAGTGGAAAAAGTCACACGTCGTTATCAATTGGTCCTATTTTTTCTCTGTTCGTATCAGTGTGCGCCGTCATTCAGACAGCGAGCTCAACAACAGCCAGATGCATGTCTCCCTCCGCCTAGCTCCTAGCTGGGCGGAGGGAGACATGCATCTGGCTGTTGTCAGGTTAGTAGGCCCTAGCTGTCTGAATGAGAGAAAATAGGACCAAGTGATAACGACGTGTGACTTTTTCCACTACAACGTTTTTGGGATGCAAAAATATCACTCTTTTGAACACATAATGTTTTGGGAAGAGAAACGTTTTATTTCGCTGGCTCTAGCAAACCTGCCGGACTACTTTTGGCTTGACCAAAACTGGACGATAACTCTGCTCACAGGACGCTGCCAGGGGTAAGTCAGTGTGATTGCATGACACTGGTGATGGGGATGCCATACAGATTCATGTCAAAAATACCGAACTATCCCTTTAAATTTCCAAGAATGCAAAGTGAGCATGAAACTATACCCTAACCCTAATTAGTTGTGAAATATTCCTCCTTATGTTTTCTTTATCATTACACAAATTTTTCAGCATTTGATTGCCCCCATCCCAACTTTTTTGGAAACGTGTTGCTGGTATCAAATTCACAATTAACATATATTTTCCATGAAATAGTCAAATTTGTCATTTTCAACATGTCTGTGCCCATTTTGCAGCTAAAGATGACCTTATATTTGCAGAATATTACATTTTGTTTTTATTCGCATTTCACAACGTCCCAATTTTTTCCTGATTTGGAGTTGTAGGCTATATCCTGACAACAGGACTGGTTGTTTTGTCCGGTCAGCTGTGCTGATAACCAAAATGTTGAAGTAGCATCTGAAGCTATGATTTATTAGTTAATATTCAATGCTAACATTATTCTTCCATGTTCTGTTCTTTCTCACAGATTGATCCATCTGTGATACCACTAATGAGTGATGGTGACTTGGCAGAGTACATTCCTAAATCAGGGGACCGAATAGCTGTGGTGGCCTTTTGTAGGCGATCCAGCACAGCCAGTAATTCAAGAAGAGACCATATACTGACTCGACTGCGCCGAAGACTATCAGCACCAGGTGTGAAGCCTTCAAAAAATTCAACTTGGATTGGGAATAAGAATGCAGAAAAAAGAGAGAGGCGGATTGAATTAGGATGGATGGATTTTGATTCTAAGCAACAGCAGTACAAGCAGGTGAAGGCCATTAAAGGTGGAGGAACTAGACATTTGACCATTGATAAAAACCTAACAGTGGAGGAAGTAAGGGTCATGGCAGAAAATATTTTTTTTCCAGATGGGGCATCAAAGAACAAAAAGCTCTCATGTTACCATTCTGAAATTCAGTCGTCACAGATTGAAGTGGAGATATCAAGCACTATTGAGCAACTGTACAACCTCAGTCGTGTTCGAATACTACGACTGTATCTCTGCACCAAGTTAAGGGATGTACAGATAGAGGAAGATATCCATCCCAAAACCCTGCAGAGCTCAACTTCAGTTGCAGATGTTGCTGAAAGTTCTTTTGAAGTCAGGCAGTACTTACCAGAACCAGATGACGACTATGTTGTCAACATGGAGATTCCCACAGACAATAACATGGACGACACAGTGGTTTGGACTGGCCAGTACACATTAGCAGGAAATGAAGCTTCCCCTGTTACAGTGTCTCTTGTTGTAGATAATATGACCCCTGCTGATTCATCTCCATTGGCACAGCCTGTCAGTGATCCTAAACCGCCTCTAAGCCAACCATTAGTTACAGGGGTGGAACCCACAGTTGCAGGAATAGGCCTACTGCACACTATCTCTTCAACAGCCAGTGAATCCTTGCCATGTAATTCTGTGTATTCCTCAGTTTTTGACCTGACCACTACTGAATCTCCTCCCCAAGACTCTTGGATGTTGCAGCCTCCTGTTGCAGACTCTTTCCCTGAGTCAGACAGTGACCATGTGCCCAGTGTCACGTTAATCATACGTAGAGGACACTGTCTTGCTGATCTTATCAAGGCATTTAAAGATCCTCATGTTTTAGAGTCAGAGATCTACATTAAGATGCGATTGCCTAATGGTCAGCTTGAAGAGGGAGAAGGGATAGGATTGCTCCGTGATTGCATCACAGAATTCTGGACAGAGTTCTATGGGAGATACACAATGGGCCGTGATGCCAAAGTGCCTTTTATCAGGCACGATTTTCAAATTGAAGAATGGAAGGCTGTTGCTAGGGTGCTTGTTTTGGGATGGAAACGTGCTGGGTACTTCCCAGTGCAGCTAGCAGCCCCATTCCTGGAGGAGGTGCTGTATGGGTCTGCAGTTAGCAGCTGCAAGGATGGATTTCTACAGTATGTGTCAGATCAGGAGAGACAGATTCTTCTCAGGGCCTTGGATGACATTGATTCAGTCGAAATGGAGACTCTGCTTGATCTCCTTGATGTCCATGAGTGTCACCAGGTGCCAAATAAAGATAATCTTGTCCCATTACTCTCACAAATGGGTCATAAGTCTATAGTCCAAGCACCAATGTACATCATTGAATGCTGGCGCCCCGTAGTTGATACCTTAGCCCGCACTCTCCCGATCGATGAGCTGCATAAACTGTTAGAGCAAAAAAAACCAACTTCGAAGGCCGTGAAGGAGCTTCTCCAGTTCCCAGATGTGATGACCGCAACACAGCATGCAGTTGCTCGCCATCTGAAACGTTACATTGTGGAAGCTGACCATCAAACTTTACAAAACTTCCTGAGGTTTTGCACTGGCTCAAATTTGGTTGGGCATTCCATTAAGGTTGAGTTTACTGAAACATCTGATTTTCAGCGCAGGCCTCAGGCTCACACATGTGGGTGCATTCTTAAATTGCCTGTTGGTTACTACAATTACCCAGACCTCAGGAATGATTTTAATAGTGTGCTGACTAGTTCTGTGTGGGTAATGGATATAGTGTAGATTGTCTCATCAGCTACATAATGTCAGTTTGCAGTTCTCAATAGTTTGGTTAGCTTTATGAAAAACTGCCATGTCTCAAAAAAGGTGACAAGTTGGTAAGCTGTTCTGATACTAAATAACTCAGGTTATTTATTTGTTAAATAATAATAAGTAAACTGAATATGTGCAAAACATTTTATTTTTGAATGACACATTTTGTAAACATTCCTGAATAAAACAGGTGTCAACTTTCTTAAGTTCTTGCACAAGTGTTTAAAACAAGCAGTTGTGAATAACACATTTACAGGTTTTAGTCTAGTAAAGAAACAACAAATCTTATTTTGTTATGCCTAAAAATATTTTTTTTTTCTGAACCATGTACAATGTTTTACATATGGGCAGATGTTTTTTTTCAATTAAGAGCAAACATTTTTAACAGGGTTCTTTATATATTTAGTATGCCCTGTATTCCTTGTCATGATGAGGAACTGTTACTTGTTCAACTGAAAAGCAGTGCGTTTTAAACAATAAATGTTGTTTTTGCAGAAGTCATCTTATGTGTACTGTGCTTTTTATTACTGTATTTAAGCTGGGGGATACATTATGTGTTCAAAATAAATATATTCAGATCCTAGGCTAATTTTCTTCAGATTTGCTGTAAACACAGGTGAAAGAGATGTGTTTGTCTCTCTCTACAGCCACCTACTCTATTAGTAGTGGACGAACAAAGTCCCTCAAAGTAATGTACAATTCCTGTGCCTGTGGACAGTTTGAAGAAAACTCCAATCCCCTCTCCAACATCACATTTGCGCAAAAATCAAATATTTCAGGATCGCATGGAACAGAACTTAAGAATGTGCAGTTTTCCTTACATACAGCTAAATCGTCTGCATTAACAGGCACGAGAAGATCATCAGCTCCCCACAAATGTGATGCCACATACATCAGATCAGGTATGCCAGACGGCACACTCGCGTTTGTAGAGGGGCGGATGCGATGTGCGTTCCAGATGTTCATGATGCTGTTTAACTCGTCCTGAAAAAAGGAAATATACATAGGTCAGTGATATTTAGAATCCCAAGAAAAATGTTTGGATGAAAGAAATGTGCCGTATTTTCACAACTATAAGGCGCACATCAACTAGGGTGACCATATTTTCATTTGGGAAAACCAGGACACCTTGGAGCGGGGGGTTTGATTGAAAGAACAAATGTCTCATCATCGGGATTTGCTCCGTGATGAGAGGAAATGTTACTTGTTACTAGTTGTTTTAATGGTTATAGAGTCAGATATGTGGCGGTAATGTTTGGTTTATCTAAAGGTTTTTATCTGTTACTGTGTAAATGGGTTTGGCTGTAATTTAAGGACAGATTCTAAGAAATCTGCAGAGTGGGAACTATAAATCTGATAGGAGTTTAATTTTTTTATTGTTTTGCACAATATGCTTAACTAAGTATTTTTTGTTGTTGAATATTAGAGATTTTGCAGATACATTTTGTAGATACATTGTTTAGATTTAGTTATATCTCTCTACCCCTTTTATAGAACAGATTAGAAAAGCCCTTTATTGTCCCACAATGGGCAAATTTACAGCAGCAGAAAGATTATTGAAAATGGTCACACAAATGACCTTAGAAAAATGTATAAGAATAACATAATAGGGAAGGGTTAAAATATAAAAAATAAAATTCTGTAAAGTGTTTTAACAATATAAAACTGGAGAATAAATAACCAATATGCAACTATGGACATTTTTACAGTAATGGATATTTGAAAATAGCAGCAACATCAGAGATGTGCAGAATGACAGCAGCAGGTTATTTAACTGACTAAGGTTTCTATCATTACATTTGATTTGATTTGTTCCTGCTCCCGGTGGTTGGAATCTTTATTCCACTCTGGATTCTTGTGAGTGTAGTCTTTGTTCACTTTAACTTTTTTTAAAATAAATAAATAAACAAACAGTTTTGAAAAGCTCGGTATTCATTCTTTTCCTGCTTTGTGTGTCACCTTTCACGGTTGCTAAGCAACAAAGCATACGGCAGTAAAACCCGCTGAAGGGTGGACCTGTTCGAATTTACAGCCAAAACTCTTCCAGTCTCCTTATTTTCAAGGACTTCGAAGGATCCAGTCTAGGTAGACCGCGTCCTTGGAGGATGCAGCCCAGGTTTTCGAACAGAGCCTCTGATTAAGAACAGGGCTGCCCGCACTGACGCGGCTCAGGGATTACGTCACACGGAGCGTCGTGCGCAGTGAAATCAGGACATTTCCTTACTTTCTAAAAAACAAAAAAAAAAAAACCCGGGACAGGACGTGAAATACGGATATGTCCCGGGAAATACGGACGTTTAGTCACCCTAATATTTCCCCCTCAAAATGTGCGGTGCGCCCTATGTGTGTTGTAACTGCGACTTTTGAGACCACCTCATTGAGGAGATGATGAAAGAGTGGCTGAGGGAGGTCTATGCGAGGAGACCAGGTGGTTTTTTTTTCACTCATCACAATCGCTGTTAATCTGACTCCATGCGTGCCCATCTCACAGCTGATGTGAACGCGCTGCTGCAGCGAGAGATGGAAAAATTGAAGTTTTGCTGCTGGACGCGCCGCATCAACCGTTTTTCATCTAAAGAATATAAATCTTGCAGCTATATTTGCTGTGATCAGTGGGAGTAAAGTAGTTTTAATATGTATTTAAGATGCGCAGTAAAACAAAATCACTTCGGACGGTGAAAACTTTCCTTTACAAACAATGAAGATGCTCTCTATCTCTAGGCTATTCCGTCCCTCTCTTTATTTATATCAGAGGTTATCTAATATATTACTGTGCATTCATTAGCCTACTTACCTTAATGGGTCCCATGAAACACAGCTGGATTAACGCCTTGTCCAGATAGTCCCCTGTGAAAAGACCTTCATCCTTCAGCTCGCTAAACATCTGGATCCAGTGTTCAATTCCTTGTCTTCTCATCACTCCCCACCAACTTTCTATTCTTTGGTTAGCAGTGCTTTCTCCTGTTAAAAAACTTGATTGTCCTGCTCTATTGTCTTCATCATTCCGTCTCAAGTACACCTGCATGTCTCTCAAGACCACATTCTCGGTTCCCATGTCAGTGCGCAAAAGTCTGGGATAGCCCCCCATCCTTTCTATCGCCTCTGCATAGTAGCCCCCAACCACACATGGATCACTATTTGTAAAGGCGGCCCTGAGCCAAATAATCTTTCTGCTATATCCATCAATGCAACCATTTATGCATATGCCATAAGGCTTGAGCTTGTCATAAGAATCGATGTGCCATATGAAATTAGGCCCACGGGAAAAGTATTGTCTGCGTCTCAGTCGTCGTCTGCGGCGGGACTGAGCGCTTTCAGGGTCAACTGCGCTGAGAATGATGCGCACATCTTCTTTTCTCACGCGCAAACCATGTTCTATACATTTATAGTACATCCAGCGGTACCCATGTAACCTCCCAGAGCCTTGGAGTTCGTTCAAAATGAACTCTATAATATGACCTAAATCGTCATACTCACGACG